AACAAAGTGTAAGCTTAGAGGCGATCGAGCCTTCGCAGTTGCTGGTCCTAAACTCTGGAATGATTTACCGCTGTCCATTAGACAAGCCTTTACCCTGTCTGTTTTTAAGTCTCTTTTAAAAACTCATTTATTTTCCCTGGCATTTTGATATTTTTGTGTTGATTTTAGTCATTTTTTTTATATTGATTATATTTTTTATATTGTTGTTTGTGGGTTTATAATTTGTACAGTTTTATTGTAATGTACAGCACTTTGGTCCACTCTGGTTGTTTTTTAGTGCTTTATAAATAAAGTTGGTATGGTATGGTATGGTATATAGCGCCTAGGATCATTCGGGTACTCAAATCCCTCCACCATGATAAGGTGGCGGTTCATGGAGGAGCTGAAAAGACCATACAGTTGAATCAACAATGCTCTAAGCCAATCTGAACAAAACTGAACATTATCACTTTCATGAAGGGAGAATTTATTGCAGGATTGTTATATAAGTCTGTGTCAGTTTTAGCTAGGTGTGCCTCGTAAACTGTTAATAGGATGTACATATATACTTAGTGTATGTACACATGTTGTTCTTGTGAAGTACATTACAACAGTTGGGCTACACACAGTACATATACTCTGACTTTTCTACATACACAAAGACAATTTTCAAGCATAGTAACTTACTGCAATTCCAGCTCTGATCACATAAGTCTTTTAAGGAAAGCTTTCACCACTGCACATGTCTACTGGTCTCATATTAAAGTTCGTTACTGTGAAGGTAAACTCTTCCTGTTTTTCATAATGTAAACCACCTTTTGGTCGTTTTTTTCACTTTTGAAAGCAGACTGCTTTGGAGCTCTGCATATTTTATACATTTAAAAATGTGCAAAGCAGGAGTAACAGAATTTTTATGTTTCATGACAGTTTAAAAATAGACAATAACATTATGCCATCTTCTATAACTGACTTTTGATTTGAAGGAACATGTAAAGGTCCTCAGCTGAATAAACTGAGTAAATGAATAGTGTCAGATTTTCTTAGACTTATAATTGTTAGCTGCATGTGTTAAAACAAGAAAGTAATTTTTTACTGGCAAAACACATAGTTAGTTAGAGGAGTTTGGCAGGAAATCAACCACCAGCTGAAGTAGTTGATACTGGTTTGTTTAGGCTGAAAGAAAACCAAGGATTTTGTAGATGGTGGGAGGGAAAGAAAGGACAGAGATCAGTACAGCTGAAAATGTTACCATGGTGAGGAGGAAAAAATGAGTGAATATGAGAAGGTGATACACACCAGGATGTTCGTTTTGCTCAAAACATTCCATGCCATGTTGTGATGTGTGTGTATGGGCTGTATTGGAAGGGGTGGGCAGGTGCGGTGTTGACTGACAGGAGAAATGGGGGATCTGAAGTTTTTTTCCCTCTCTCTCTAGCAGACCTGACATTCAGTCACACAACATGTCAGCAGCTCAAAAATTGTTAGTGTATGTGTGCATGCTTGTGTGAGTACATGAGGTTTCTAAGACTTGCATCATGAGCAGGGAAGATGCTAAATTCTGAACTGGCCTTTGTGTTGATCTGTTTATGCCTTCTGGGTAAGTGCAGCATTTTAGATTTAACAAGACTTCTCTCTCATAAATATTCTATAAGAGTGTTCCTATTCAGTAAACAGTACTTCTTGAACCTGTAGCACAACAGACATGTTTGAATTGTGTCTTTGTTTATCATTTGTTAATAAAATGATATGTTGTGAAATTGGCACCTTGTCCAGTACAGCAGAGTTTTGTTAAGGCTTCTTTAACTGAACTTTTTTAAATATTAGACAGATATATGTATGCGCACACCCATACACACACACACACACACACACACACACACACACACACACACACACACACACACTGTCTTTCTGCGCAAATTGTGTGAGTACATGAGGTTTCTAAGACTTGCATCATGAGCAGGGAAGATGCTAAATTCTGAACTGGCCTTTGTGTTGATCTGTTTATGCCTTCTGGGTAAGTGCAGCATTTTAGATTTAACAAGACTTCTCTCTCATAAATATTCTATAAGAGTGTTCCTATTCAGTAAACAGTACTTCTTGAACCTGTAGCACAACAGACATGTTTGAATTGTGTCTTTGTTTATCATTTGTTAATAAAATGATATGTTGTGAAATTGGCACCTTGTCCAGTACAGCAGAGTTTTGTTAAGGCTTCTTTAACTGAACTTTTTTAAATATTAGACAGATATATGTATGCGCACACCCATACACACACACACACACACAGTCTTTCTGTGCTGAAGAAAATCAGGGATAGATACCTGTACAAAAAAAAAAGAACACAAACTAAGTTCAGTTTGCATTGGCCCTTAATACCCAATTTATATGGAAATCAGACAATATTTGTTTAACAAAGTTTTACATAGGTTGTTCAAATCTGTTCACTGTCACAAAGTAATACATGCATAGATTTGATGGACAAAGACCCAGTACCACTCTCACTAAAATAAAAAAAAATATTGCAAATATAATCCCACAGTTCGGACTCCACAGACCAAATCTTCATTAAGATGCATACTCTTTATAAATAGGTTCTTTCTCTTCTCACAGGGAAGATGAAGAACAAATAGGATTAGACACTAAATGCCCTTCATTATTGACATATTCCACTGGCACAGAGAATTGATATTAACAAAGTATAATTTGGTCATTGTACAGGTCATGCCCATAATATGATACCATATCTTGATGAAAAGCCCACTTCAGCTTCAGGCACACAGACTTGCTGAGGGCTTTGCTATCCATTTAAAACACTTTACAGATACAATCAAAGTCAATTATTTGCTAATTTCTATTTGAATCAATTAATTATGTATAATTAAAATATTCAGAAAACAAAAGCCTGTCTTAGTGCAATGATCTAAATATTGCTTTTTCAGAGAAAGAAAGACTAGAATGACTTTAAGCTAGTTCAGTGTCAAGCCATTCATCTACATTTTGTGCAGTATAGTCATCCACATACAGGACAAGCACAGGTAAAAACAAATTATTCCAGATTCAAAGTTTGCTTACCGTTCATGTCTTCCTTTTATCTGTCTATCTATCTATCTATCTATCTATCTATCTATCTATCTATCTATCGCTTAACCTGAAGGGAGTTGCGGGAGGGTTGGAGCCAAACCCAGCTGACATTGGACTTCAGGAGAACCAAAACTTGCTCAATTACCATTTGAATTCTCAGAGGGGAGATGGAGGTGGTGGAGAGCTACAGATACCTTGGAGTCCACCTTGACAACAGGCAGGAAGGGTCAGAGCAGACTTTACTTTCTGACGAAGCGCAGGTCCTTTAATGTGCTAACAATCCCTTTGCATGTGCAGGTTTATTTTATAAAGGTGGAAAAGGCCAACTGTTCTCCTATCTGTATTGAAAATAAAGAGCAGCATGAAGAGGTATGGAGTCAAAATATGAAAAAAACGATTTAAAATGGAGAGGGAGAGGCAGAGAAGTGATTGAGTGTTTGTCTTCTAGTGGATAAAAACAGGGGGTAAGAAGGAAACAAGCAAGATTCTGGCACTCACTCAGACACTGCACCGCTGGGTTTATAGTAGCTAATTCTGCTATTTTAGGATAATTATGACATAGGGGAATTGTTTAGAAGAAAACAATTATCCACAAACAAAGGCTTGCTCACATTTCTTCAGGCTATCTTCTCAACAAGGGCTCTCCACCGTCCTCAGTGGTCTCTTTGAGTGGTTAGTGATCTCTCATAGGGTGCACCAAATGCTAACTAGTATGTATGCAACATAAGTGTCTTTGAGGTGAGATGCAAAAACGCCAACAGAGTTTCAAGGCAATTGGCATAAGCTTAATATCACCCCAGCACTTGGCATCAATTTGCAGAGTTGCACTATCTGTTTGGCTTTGATCTGAAGCAAAAATGTATCAGTCCAACTGAAACTGGTAAGAAACTTATTCTTTGTTTATCCTCCTACACCATGTTTCTTCTTCTGTCCTTCCTTTTCTCCCTCTCTGAGTGCATTAGATGTTAACAGACCCCCATGCTGACTGAATCCAAAGAACAATAACCTTCCTGACAGCAAAGTAAGACTCCCCCTAGAGCTCTCAGTAAGTGTAGTAGTGTGTTGCTGAAGACAGACCAAGTCTTGCAATAAGAATAACCAGATTCTAATGAGTTCTGCATTCACTTCTACATTAATCTAATTTAATTACACTAAATAAAATACTGTACACTGGTGGTAAGAAGGTTTTAGTATAAGCACTAGTATAAATAAACAATTATCTATGTTGTTTACAGGAACACACCCACAACCAAAAACACATTGATCTATGCAGATACACAAATGCATACATATTCCCTTGTGTTATTGTACATGTGAAAGACGATTTTCTGCTTCATGTTTGATTCACTGATCTTTAACCATGAATGTGTGCATATGGGTGTCAAATTTCATCTTAACCCAATATTAACAACAGATTCACACATGCACACACACACACACACACACACACACACACACAACAATGTGCAGCATGTAAACTGAAGTTCTAGGAGCCACACCTCTCAGCCACATGGGGGTTCTCTAAAATATAGATCAGAAGCCTTATTTCTGAGTGGGCATTTACAAATCTTTTGATGGAGGATTTAAAGGGCCTCTTTTGAACTGCTTCATTTTTAATTAAAGGCCAACATGTCAAAGACAAAACTGAAATAATAAATTCTCTGTCAAGCTGAGGCATGTGACCTCCCTGATGGGGTATCATAAGTCAAACTCATCTATTTTCCAGTGTAAGCTGGGTACACACGTAAACAACAGCTTATATGTGATAAAATTCCCTTATGATTATGAGCTACTACCAAGAAATAATGTGCTTAAATAATCAATAGGGCATAAATAGTATTTTCAGTGTAGAGATGTGTGTTCATGTGTAAAGCACTGAAAACAGCAAAAGCAGCACTGAAACACCATCTCATTATCTGTCAGGAAAACAGTCCTACCTTGTCGGACATCTCTGGGTGCTATGGCAATTGCATCATTTGAATGCAGCTCAGTGACACAGCAGTCATCAGGAACCAGCGAACCATTACTGAAACTGTGAGGTGTCTCCGGGAGTAATGGGATAGGTGGTGCCATGATGTTATGGTTTGGACAGATACACCCTGTCTGTGTCATCCCACAACCATCCCCGTCGGAAACCTCCTGATCTCCATTGTGTCCTGTGCGTAAACACTCCTCAAACCATCGGCAGAGCACACCACAGGTGAACTGACTGGAGTTCTCATTGTTAATGAGTAACACCTCTACCAGTCTCAGCTCTAGCAATTCCTTGGTTACCTGAGGTTCATCAGCAGATGGATGTCTTGTTAGACATAGCTGGATAAAGTTCTTATCAAATTGTAGGAAGGAGTAAGGTCCATCTGAGTTGGTGTGGCTGCCACAGAGCTCTATGACTTCTTGATCCCTGGCAGCAGTTGTCTGTAAATGAAGAGGACAGCTTTGATTGGCCAAGTGGTGGTCAAGAGAGAGGAGCATGGGGGAGTGTGCCCGACAGATGACAGGATGGCGGGTGAAGCGGAGGTAGAGGGAATACTTGGTGGGATCAGGGTTTTCCAGTGACCAGGAACAACCTGGCACCCTAGATGGAAAGAGTTCCCTTAGGGAGAAAGAGCCATAGAGCACACCAGCTACAAGGCTGGAGCATGGCGAGGAGATGGGTGAGGGAGCCCCCTCTGCCCCAGTGCTGGGGATGCTGCCGGCAGCCCCGTAGGCAACCTCAGCCAGGGCAGAGAGAGGAGCTAGAACAAGGACAGACACGGCAGCCAGGGCCCCAGCCACAGCACAGACAGACACACCCCACCAGCAGTGTTCATCCTATGACATTTGTCCTGCAGAGGGAGACAGAAGAAAAGACAGGATGGTTCTACATTAAACATATCAAATATTATCTTCAAACAACTTGACAAAAATCAACATAACATGGACAAAAGCAAAAACCTAATGTTATTCCAACAATTTGTTCAAGTATAGACCAAGTGTGGTTGGAAATATTTTCTATACAGATTTCTCCCCTGTCTCACAGTATAATACAATAACTTTATAGCAGAAGTTCTTCAGCTGCACACACACATGCACTGTGAAAACACAACCACATCCCTGTTGGGTTGGATTAAGAGGGCTGATGACTTGGCTGCTGAGACATGTACACTGGGGCCT